TTGATAGATATTTGGGACGCAGTGCAATCCGAGGGTAGTCCCCACCTGATCCTGTCTTTGGATGCTGAAAAGGCGTTCGACAGGGTCAGGTGGGGTTTCCTCAGGGAAGTTTTAAGGAAATTTAGTTTGAATGTTGGAGGCCTTTATGGTCTTGTATTCAGCTCCAACTGCAAGGGTACTCGGGGGGAGGGGATTTTGGATCTAGCAAATGGAACCAGGCAGGGTTGCCCGCTCTCCCCGATTCTATAAATAATGTCACTGGAACCGCGGGCTTCTCAGATTAGAGATAATAATAGGATTAAAGGGTTCAGAACAAAGTTTCGGTTCAAACTGAAGAGCTATTTAAAAATAAATATAGATTTGTTTTGTCATCAAGTATAAAATATTTGGGTACCCAAACAAAATAATAGAAGAAAATGTCTTACCTCTTCTTAAACAAACGTCTAATCAGTTGAAAGATGGAATTCCTATTCTGGGGAAGAATAAATATTCTAAGATCATATGTCCTCCCCATTGGTTATATCTTTTTCGTACGGTACCACTTTCTGACCCCACTTTCTGTCCCCAATAGCTGACTATCTATGATTCAGGCTGCATTTAGGAACTTTGTATGGCGTAGGGAAAAACCGAGGTTAAACATTAGATTGTCTTAAATTGAGACCCACCCAAGGGGGTTTGTCTATGCCAGATATATATGAATATCATAAAGCAAGCATGCTGATGCATGCATTTATGACACAAAAGGAATCTTCAAGAGAATAAAACTGGTACAAGGTGGAAAAAGACCTAACACAACAGAAAGACTTAGTCCATGGATTCTGGACAACAGAAACATCAAAAAGGCCAATAGTGGGAAGGTGTTTTTTATTACGAGGCACATTTTAACTAATTGGCAGAAATTTAGGAAGAAAATAAAGTTAAACAACAAAGTCCTAATAAATACTTCTCTGGGAAACTTAGCAAACAATATGTTATAAGATATATTAGATATTAATTTGCACAAATGGCATAGAAATGGGCTAAGGACAATAAATGATCTATTAATGTATAGACGTATTAAAACTTTGACAGAAATTTCTGAAAAATGAATACGAATAAAAGGATACATTAGGAAACATCTATGCCTAGAACCCAAAGAAATAATTACAAAGATACAAATAATCCAAAGAAAGACTGAATCAAAAGGTACACTAGCTTTATGTAAAGATCTGCTAAGAGTAGGGGAGAAAATAAGCCCAACCAAAGTCGCAGAGAAATGGGAAAAGACATTCAAGTTAAATTCACTCAAAAATAATTAATAACAGCTTTTTAATAAGTTTGTAAATCAGTAAGATGCCTGAATTTAACAGAAATGTAATTTAAGATCAATAATCATATTTATCTCATCTAAACATGATGTGGTCTGGTCACACTGATAGGTGTTGGAGATGAGAATCGCAGAAAGGCAATTTATTACATATATGGTTGAAACCTCTGAACCGATTCAGAGGTTTTGGGGACAGATAAAGGATAAAATCCAAGCAATAAGTAACATCAAACTCCCATTAAAGTCAGAATCCTATTTATTACACTTACATTTTCCAAAAATGCCTAAAGCAGAGTATGATATAGTGGTACATATTTTGCTGGCAGAAAAGATCAGTATAGCTAGAAAATGGAAATCCTGTATTCTGCCATTATGGATCGAGGTTAAAAATCAACTGCTCTTCCAATTAAATATGAAAAAAGGAATAGAGAAGTACCAAAATTTTACTCTGAAGAGGAATTACAAAGAGACCTTTCGATAAAATCGATCCCTGAGTTAGCATGATAAATAAATACCCTTGAATAAGATGTGATGATATTTAATCTCTATAGAAGCTGCCCTGCCAGACATGTATGATGTTTTATATGTTCCTCCTTTTCAGTAAAAAGGAAAGCAGCATATTGGAAATGTGTGATCTTACGGAAGGTAGGATTGTTTTTAAATTGACTGTTCAGCGTGATTTTATGTTTTGTACGGTCAAATTTTTCTATGTCTTTTTTTTGTGTTTTTTGTCAATAATAGTCAAAAAATTAATAAAGAATAAATAAATGAAAAAAAATTTGGTATAACTGGATAAGTAGGAGCAGACTGGCCACTCTAGACTGCAGAAGTATCAATCACAGGCCAAGCGGGGAATTACTCATTTTGTCCATGTTCAGTTTTTACATAATGTTAACAAGTGGTCCGCACCATATAAAGTTGTGGGCCGTTTCTGCTTACTGCACACATGCAGACAGCTTCAATTACTCTGAGCTACTGTAGCTTTGGTGTGAATGCTCTGTGCATGGATGAAGGTGGATATTGGAACTGGCAAGGGGTAGGACAGAGGAGAGGCATAACTGGGGATTGAGGCAGAGAAGGACAATGGAGGGTGGGTGAGATACTGAGATACTCAAGTGATGGTGTGCTTTGGAGGCAGATAGTTCATGTATCTAGAGACATACATGGAAAACACCTTTTGGCATTTTCATACACATAAACTGCCATCAATCACATATATATAGCCTTGCATCCACACACTGGGCCAGATTTACAGGTCAAGTGCCTGTAGGCACATAATTCTAAGTCAGTAAAGCGGCACAGTCATGCTGAAATTACATTTCCCCAATCACTTCCTTTTCTCTCCCTCTGTTCTTCATTTTTTCCTATCTGATCTAGTTTTCTTTAAAACATAAGACAAAATAGGGACTTTTTCCTACCCTTGCCCAGCTTTGACTCAAGGGAGGAGCGAAGTCTGCTCCATTTCCTGTGGTCAAAGCAATTTCCTAAAAGAATGAGAACAGTTTGTCCATTCCAGTTAGGACGCAGTTTGGAACTTTTTTTTTTTTTTTATGAAATACCGATTATATTTGTGCCGCAGCTGTATCTTGTAGCCGTTTAGTAAATAGCTCCCTAATTTCCACGGTATTATTGAACTATCTACTAAAAGGCTGAAAGACATAATTTGGTCTTTCAGCCAAATGTACTAATACTAAGTAAAGATTACTTAGTATTAGTAATTAAGGGAGATTAAAGGCCCTAAATTACAATAGGGGAGGAGGACCTATTGTGTCCCCCCTTCCCGGCCCCTACTCATGAACAGTGGGTGGGGGCCCTAGTGACAATAAGGGGGAGAATCTATTGTCATCTCCCCTGGCCCCACCCATGGGCGGTAGGTGGGGGCCCTAAATAACAATACAGAGGGAACCTATTGTCTTACTCCTGGCCTAAATGTAAAATGTAAACAATCAGGCAAGGCTCAAGATTTAAATATGTACAAAGGATCAGCGCTACACTTGAAAAATAGGGCTTCCTCACAGGCCCTATAGAGTAGACAAAGCAAAAAAAGGTGGAGGGGGAGGCGGCGCCACAAAACCTGATTATAAACTATACAAGCATATATACAAGACACTACATAAGTGAGAATACATATAAGATTAAAAAAAACAAAAAGAGTTCCAAATATAGATAATGAATAGAGTTGAGTGAACCCGAACTATTTAGCAGTGTGTGTATGGGGGCAGTGTGTGTGTGTGTGTATGGGGGGGGGGCAGTGTGTGTATGTATGGGGGCAGTGTGTGTGTATATGGGGCAGTGTGTGTGTGTATGGGGGAAGTGTGTGTATGGGGGGGCAGTGTGTGTGTGTATGGGAGGGGCAGTGTGTATATGGGGGGTAGTGTGTGTATGGGCCTGCTTACCTGTACAATCTGATGTTTTCACCCTCCATCTCCTGAAGCAGCACTTGTCAGGCCACGCTCCTCTTCTCACCCTCCATCCATGCTGTAAGTGTGCTCCATGTGAGAGGGAGCAGGGGGTTCTGTCACTTCCTGCCCTGCCTTCCACCCTCACACGGAGCACTGAGCAGGGAGAGACGGAGGAGACCTGGCAGTGAGAGCAGGAATGCTGCAAGGTCTCTCACTGAATGGGGGAATTATTTACAGTGATGATGGCTGGGAGTGATGGGTTGCAGGGGCCCTTAGAGTCATTATGGGCCCCTGCAACCTTCCTTCTGACTGTGGAGATCTCTGATCTCCACAGCAGAAGCATGGCTGTGCTGCCGGGCCCCCTGATTGACTCGGGCCCTCGGTCCATGACCGATCTGCCCGACCTGTCAGTCCGCCCCTGATTGGAGTTTTAAAAAGTCAATTTTTTGGGGGGGGTGCTAAATAGTATATTTGGGGGTGTTCACTTCATATCTGAGAGTCAAACTGAAGCGTAACTTTGATTCAAATTTACTACATCGGTCACTTGTAATATTGTTTCACACCTACAACACTTGTTACACAGATCTAAGTGATAGAAAACAGATTGATATTTTCTACACTAGAAACTACCAGATAACAAGCTGCTATATTTAAACCAGTGATCAATAGCTAAGAGGTACTTCAACAATATTGTAATTCTGGAGCAATACCCTCACAAGTCAAACCGAGAGGTCAGTTTATAGGGAAAACTGTTTCCTGGAGGAAATTCTAAAACAAATTCCATATGTCCTTTGCAGACTTTACATGCTGGAAAAACACAGGTGCCAACTGCTGTGGTTTTCTGCAGTGTGCATACCGGCAAGGAGGCCAGGGTTGAGGAGTGGGTGGAAGATGATGTGGAGGATGATGAGGTCCTAGACCCCACATGGAATCAAGGTCATGCGAGTGACGTGTGCAGTTTGGAGGAAGAGGCGCTGTGGCACAGAGGCACCAGCACAGCATAAGAGGGAGCAAGGTGCAAAAGCGGAGCGGCCGTCCCCTAGCGCTTATCGGCATGTATTAGTTCGAGAATTACCATTTATCCAAGTAATACATGTAGCGATCAAAGGATCCATAATAGAGTTGAGTGAACCCGAACTGCAAAGTTCGGGTTTGTACCAGATTTAACGATCCATTCGCAGTTTCACAGTGAGGTGGGCAGTCCAGTGACCAGGACCCAGACACTGTCAGGATGTGATATTCACTGTAGCAGCTGTGCGCACTTTTGGCGTTGTCACCCTGCTGCTGCTCGCCTGTCTGAGCTGCAGTGTAACTTCGGCCTTCCCGCTCATGAGACTTTGCAAGCAGCAGCAGGCGATAGTGGGGTTTTAGCTGCAGCACGCACGGGTCAGTGGCTCTGCACCAGACTTCCCTCCAATTGATCAGAGTTAAAGGAGTTCAAGTGGACTCATTACAATTACAGGGCCTCTAAATTAGAGTCCTGTATTGTTATTTGTCATCACTACCTTCCCGCGTCGTGAGTGGGTCATTTACACGCCTGCTGCATCCTTGCATGTGGTAGCCGTTTCTCTGATTCCCCATTACCCGTGGTCACTACGGTAGGTGCAGAAACTGGCATCGAAAGTTCATATTGATGACATCCGCATGCAAAGTCGCATCACGGGGATGTGCGATTTGCCTGAGGTTCTCTAGAGTCAACAAAGTTCCTGCACAACTATAATGTCAACAGCTACTCTGCAGAACAGAGTTGTCTTTTTTTATATGTCCCAATATTTTGGGGGCTACCCTAATTAAAAAAAAAAAAATATATATATATATATATATATATTTATATATATATATATATATATATATATGTATAAAAACAGTGTTGGCTACCTCATCCTCCTCCTCCACCACCACGGTCACCGCCTCCTCAACCTATGGGTCACTTAGTATAAACTAGGTACAAATTAGCAGAGGCTTGTGAGGGCCTTTTCTCCATGCATCAGGAGTTGAGCTCAGTTTGAACAATGAAAGAGAATACCATGCACTCCAACCCTCTCTCAAATTGATAATTCTGGTGATCCTCCTGAAGCCATGCTTTAGATTTTGATTTATGTTCTTCCAAAGCTAAATTCAAAGATTCCATCTAGTGCTATTTTATGGTTTAGCTGTATTTTAAATTTTTATGTTATTTTAAGTGATTTCCCTATCCACATTTGTTTGCAGGGCACTTGTCCTACTCTTAACCCCAATTTTACTTCCTTTTGTAGCTCTCTAGCTCTTTTCAAGAGTTTTTTAGAGGCATTTTTGTGGCCAAAAGTTCGGGTCCCCATTGACTTCAATGAGGTTTGGGTTCGGGGTCAAGTTCGGGGTCAAGTTCGAGTCCAAAACCGGACTTTTTTTTAAAGTTCGGCAAACCCGCCGGACCCAAACATCCAGGTGTCCGCTCAACTCCAATAATGAATAATAATCAGGAGTTCATAAAGTAAGTCCAAAAGAGTCTATGCCTGATAAATACAGCAAAAAGTCCAAACAAAATCTTGTATACGAAGTCAATCACAATCTTGTAAGTGGAAATATTCCTCAGTAAGGTATGGGCATGGGATATTCCTGAGATCCGTATGAAAAAATAAAAAGACAGCAAATAATGGTGCAGTATATCCCAACAGGTACTAAGTACTCTTTTGTAAGAGGTCTATATGGTCCTACTCATGTTTTCCAGAGCTATAAAACTAGCTCTAGTGTGGAAAGCATACAGTGGTACAATCACCACTTATGGGAATTTTGTAGTAGATGGATATCTTGTTGGTATAAGGACCAAATGAAATATAAAAGAAACAATAATAGTGCTTATTGTATAAAAGCCAGAAGTGAAATAATAATAAAACCAAGTGGTTACTCACATTTTATAGAGCAGGTAGACTGCTCAATGAATAAAACTTGAGGAGTATAATCCCCACCAAGGATTCTTTGGAGTAATTCTCACTGGAACATAAAAACTCTGGTGCCAGGTAAAAAATAAATAAATAAGTAAATAAATAAATAAAAGAGCAAAATGGCTGACTCACAAGTTGAAAGTGGCCAAAATACCTAATAAAATACAGCAATTAAAATACCACAATTTCTCCCCTTAAGGCTTTCTCAAATGGATAAAAACATGTACCTGACAACACTGGCTTTATATAGGCCTCAGAATACTTGATTTTGGTATAACTTTATTATAGAACATGTTTCAGCCATATTAGAAGGGCAATGAAACACGTGTCAGCCATATTAGAGAGGGCAATGAAAGAAAGTGGAAGAAGGGAATAAATGAATAAAACACATATGTGACAAGTAGCAAGTGCAAATACTCAAACTCAGACCAGGTTTTTTTTAGCATACATTTTAAAATATGATCGTAGAAAATTATAATATAAATATAAAAAGGTCACAGTAAATTGCAAATGTCACAGAAAAGTTGCACAAAAGTATGATAACAAATAAAAAAATTAATAGAAATAACAGAAAATAATCAATAAAATAAAATAAAAGATACAAACTGTAAAAAAAAACAGAAAAAGCGAATGTGAAGAAACACAGAATATTACAGAAAATTTAAAATAAAGAGAAAAATGGGCAGGCAAAGGCAAAAATAATAATACATAGGGGTAAAAGAGTCTAGAAAAAAGGGAAAAAAAGGATTTGTGTAATATGATGCCCTTTTCTTGTAAAATTGTATACAAATATATATATGCCTATATATTTTTAAAACCATATATGAAGATTTAAAAGAGTACATGTAAATATAGGGTAAGAATGAAGTAAAATAACATTAGTATACTTGTATCACATTTTAAACAAAACTGAATATGCAAATTTATAAAAAGTTACAAAGATCAAAATCAATGTTTAAACCTCCAGGGGCAAGCATTTTTAACAGGTACACCCAATACATTTATTTCTGACCCAAAAGGTTTTTTTAACCCCTTAGTGACCGTGGATGTACCCGATACGTCCTGGGGTAATTAGAGCTCTGGAAGCGATCATGATCATGATCATCTAATGGTATTACAGCGATGCCTCAATGTTGAGGCATCACTGTAATACCCCCCTCACTGCCAAGGGCCACCGGGTATTACCGGGTAATCGCTCCCCCCCCCTACCTTTCCTCCCCATGTACTTACCAATCGCCGCCTTTCCCCCGCCAGTCTTCATTTGTTGTGGGGACTCTCTGGACTGAGAGACCAATTTAGGACCCATGGGGCCATGTGACTGCTCTAAAAGAGCGGTCACATGGCCGCCATAGGTGTTCACAGTGCTGCCAGCAGGGGGACTGCCTGAAATGACAGGCAGTCCCCCTGCTGGTGAAAAAGTAAAAAAGAAAAGTTAATAAAAGTTAAAAAAAATAAATAAATAAAATAAATAAACAAATAAAAATAAATGAATAAATAAAATATTTATATATATATTTATATATATAATAACTATATATATTGTGTATATATATTATAAAAAATAAATGATAATTAAAACTAAAAAACTAAAAATAATTTTAAAAAACATATATATATACATATATATATATAAACATCCAAAATCTGGCACTCTACCCAAAAAGTGTTAATCAATTATAAACACCAAGGTGCTTCTCCAAAAGAGTATATAAAATGCAAAAAACGAGAGCACTCACTGGATTTGATACATAAATGCTTTGTATTAAATGAACATACCAATCGACGTTTCGACCGTCTCGCGGTCTTTATCAAGATGTCCCCACAGTGTGACAAACCATCATTATATAGTCGTGAATGAAATAAACTTACCCAATAATCAAAGTGATCAGTTGCCGATGCAACTGGGGTCACATGATATGACGTCACCACACACGTAATGGCGCGCGTCAGTGGGCGTCTATCACAGGACGGTTTTGCATCGGCAACTGATCACTTTTTGATTATTGGGTAAGTTTATTTCATTCACGACTATATAATGATGGTTTGTCACACTGTGGGGACATCTTGATAAAGACCGCGAGACGGTCGAAACGTCGATTGGTATGTTCATTTAATACAAAGCATTTATGTATCAAATCCAGTGAGTGCTCTCGTTTTTTGCATTTTATATATATATATATATATATGTCATTTTATTCTATTTATATTTTGATAATATATATATATATATATATATATATCAAAATACACTTAGAATAAAATTAAATATATATCTATGTATATCCCCTTAACGACCGTGGACGTACTATTTATGTCAGACAAAGCAAAAACGGTAGCTAAGGACCGCGGAAGCACCTAGTATGACAGCGGCAAATAGAAGCCCTGGACCTACCTGGACCGGCGATCCGCAGTGATCACGGTCGGGGGGGTGGCGCCGGAGACCCCAGCAGTCCCCCTACAGCAGCTCCGGCCACCCCGGCCCTCTAGGGCCATGTGATCACCATGATCACATCGCCGCAATAGGAGTCTAGGAGCTGCCCGCAGGGGGACTGTCTGAGCTGTCAGACAGTCCCCCAGGCTGCTAAAACGTTAAATATATATATGATTTCATTATAAGTGTACTTTGAGATATATACACATATATCTCAAAATACGCTTATAATGAAATAATATATATGCATTATATGTTTAATATATTATAAAATGCTCTTATTATCACAACTATGACATCACCAGTAAAAGTGCAGTTTTTGTGTAAAAAAAATGCAAACAACTAATAAAAACATTAACTTTGGCCAGTGGCTACACAAAAGACTGGACATACCCCATTCTAAATACTGTGTGGTGTCTACTTTTACAAATGGTATTCCATGATGGGGTTAATTTTAATTCCTGGGCTGTTAACTGGTCTCAAAGGCAGCATAGGCCCAGCAAACCAATCTGGCAAATTTCAATGTGCAAACATGGAAAAGGGGAAAGCCCTACATTTGACCCTTGTAAGTTTGCAAACCCATAAAACCTGTACATTGGGGTCACTGTTGTACTCAGGAGATGTTGCTGAACACATATTTGGGTGTTCTTTGTCAGTAACCCATAACAGGAACTGAGAATTCATGCCTAATGTACAATGTGAGCGAAAAATAACACAAAAAATGACTACCCAAAAGTTTGACAAAGACTGGTGGTAGAATTAGTGCATGGAAAGTGTTAAAATACCACCATTTGAAATACCCAAAGGCAGAGGTTCTCAACCTAGTCCTCAAGGACCCCCTACCAGTCCAGGATTTAGGGATTACCTGGGTGTGTCTAAGGTGTTTAGAAAAGAAAAAAAAACACACCTTAGACTCTAAGGTTTATTCTTTTTCTAAACACCTTAGACACACCCAGGTAATCCCTAAATCCTACACTGGTAGGGGGTCCTGAGGACTGGGTTGAGAACCCCTGCCCTAGGGTGTCTACTTTTCAAAAATGTATGGTTTGATGGGGGTAAATTACATTGGCTGGCTTCAGAAATGTACCAAATGGGACACGGGTGCATGATGACCAGCTGTAAAAATTCCAAGCTGGAAAACTGGAATGCGCACCTTCCAAATAAGGTATTTTAGCCCCCAGAGAAGCTGACACACCTATACATGGGGGGTATCACTGTACTCAGGAGATGTTCCTGAACACATATAGGGGTGTTCTTTGGCAGTAACCCTTAAAGTTCTCCGTACATGTTCTTAAATTGCTATGTGCATCAAAAAAATCACCAATTATATTATTGTTTTAAAATTTGGCATAGATTGATGTTAAAATTGTTGCATAAAAAGAGCACGGAAAGAGTTAAAATACCCCAAGTTTAATACCTTAGGGTGTCTTCTTTTAAAAAATATATACATGTGAAGGGTTATTCAGGTATTCCTGACAGATATCAGTGTTAAAATGTAACTTGCGTTACTTTTTTT